TTTCTCCCTTATAAATGTATGAATATTATATTTTGCTGAAATTATCGTTGAGCGGAGTCGCCGTTTTATTCGGAAAGTTGAAATTGAGCGAGTTAGGGTAACCTTGCTCGAGCCATTATATATCGATTGTGCATTCAATGAAAATTATATTTCTGTAATACGATTACTTTTATGCTCCATTACTCGATAGCTATATTATTAAATGATAATAAAAATTTATAACCAGCGACTGGTTAATTATGCTCTATAAAGAGCTCGTAGCATAATAAATAATTCGTGCCCTTGGCGCGAATGATGATCCGCAGGATAGATAAGAGTAGCGCAGGGAAACGCAGGTGGATACGGAGGAGCATCGGAATATTTGAATATTTGAATAATGAAAGAAGCATATCGAGTAGAATAATCGATTGGTAATGTACATTTAATAAATATCTGCATATTGACAATTAGGGAAACGACAGAATGATAAGTAAGGAAAAAGTAACTTGGTTAGGTAGTTACGAAAAGTGTAATCACCGATGAGTTAAATTGAGAAACGAGTATTAAATGAAGAAGATTAAAGAGTGTGTCTGTGTGCGCGCGCGTGTGTGTGTGTGTCTGTGTGCGTGTGTGTGTGTGTGAGGGGGGGGGGGATAATTGAAAAGCGCAAAAGTGAAGGAGAAGTACTTATGCACTTGTAAAATTGATCCTAATGTTCACTAATCGTAAATTTATTGTATCAACGTCCCCTCTATTATTAAACAAATAAATAAATGGACGAATCGTATTGGACTGGCCGAGCGAGAGAGCGAATCACGCATGAAAGTCATTTGAAATATAAATGGAATGTGGATAAGATTAACGAATGGCTTGTTGGCCAATAGAGGAATAAGAGAAACTAAACAAATATCGACAATGCATATGCTTTCATATACACGGACCGATAAATGTTCCCTACGCTCTCTCTCTCTCTCTCTCTCTCTCTCTCTCTCTCTCTCACCCTTGGAATCCCATATATATTTTCCCACGCAACGAGTGTGAAACGAGTCCGATGAAACTCGTAAATATCTCCGAGAATCGTGGCACAGGCATTTTAGATAATGGAAGGATAGCGTTAGCCGTAATCGCGATAACTTGGCGTTCTCGATCCCCGCGAGCCTCCCCGCCAAACACGTTAAAAAGTCTCGGGTTTCCGCTTAAAGCATCGCGAATAAAGCATTAGAATCCGAGTCGCCGTTTTGTCGGTCCGGGGCGATTAATATAATAAAGAGCAAAGGGCAACGGATAAGTGAGTGCGGGGGTGGCTGTGACGCGTCAAGTTGGCACGTACGTAGGAGCGCGCGCGCGCGCTGGATCGAGTCTGGATTCAAGTAGCTCGGAACTTTCTGCGCAAAATCCTACCCCGTGCTTCCATGCCCACCCCTTGCGTAGACCTTTGCTAATACACACGAACGCGCATGTGATTGCGTGTTGTGATTGCGTACGTGTTTTACGCGATTGTGCGCGATCCCATCGAAAACAATGCTATATGGTGAGACGGAGCGCGAGGAGTAAGAGAGTGAGAGAGTGAGAGAATGAGAGAGTGTGTGAGAGTGAGAGTGAGAGTGAGAGTGAGAGTGAGAGAGAGAGAGTGAGAGAGAGAGAGAGAAAGATAGAGAGAGAAAATGAAATAATGAAGCGTCCCAGCCAAGAGTCGTGTATTTTAAATTCTGCCCTAGAGGAAAGCCCGTGGTTTGTGGATTTCTGGTTTACCAACCACATACAATCGTGCCGTCTTATTCGGGTCAGAACGCAGTAACCTACTCGAGGCTACGACGTATTTTCTTTTTTTAATAGCTATAACGATGTATAGGTTTGCCGATGATATTGGATTTAGCGCTTCGTTCGTTGAAAGAGATTCGTTTGCGATTGCGATACATCTCTCATACGACTCTGGTCTGTTCAGATGTGCCAATTTGATTAAAGTCCTTGACAAGGATTTTTTTTTTATCGTTGACAAGGACTCGACTTCGTGCTCCCGTGACAAAAATTAATTCATCGACTATGCGAGCGGGAAGAACGCCGGATGCACGATTGTTGATGGGTTCTCGCGACACTAATACAAACATTTGTCGATAGATTAACGTAAGAGGACGGCGACGATGTATTACTATCAACTAGTCAGAAACTGATTTGGCTAATCCTTGGATGAAATTATAAATGCTGAAAGCACGTAGCGATAAAACATTCTTACTAACATGTTATATTATTCAATTTTGCGAATAAGTCGATGTTAAAGTTCCAAAAGCGCTTGATGTCGAATTGGAACTTGAATACTTGCATTATTCTTCGCTAAATGGCACGAACATTATCATCTTCGTTATAACTTTGCTTACTTATTTGTCATGTACGCTCAAATATGCGCGTAATTTACATTTACATTCGCTCGCATTTGCATTTGAAACTGTTCTATTCGAGATTTCTGTCTTCTCAATCATCGGAGTCAAAGCGATACGACACATTAATACGAAACGACATTAAGAACAATTTTTACTCGCTTGTAGTTGCTTATGAAAACAAAAAAGTTTTAAATCTCTAAAAATTAATACAAATCTAAATGACCAATGCAAAATATCAATTCTCTGTCTTTCGCAATGAGAGGGCAATTATTTTGGAATATTAGTATGTAGAGCTGCTAGTTGATCATTTCACTTAACATGCATTAACAGTTGTGTTATCTCTTATACAACATTACCCCTTAATTTATCTGAATATATTACATAAAGTGTATTTTGATTAGGATCGTCTGTAAACAAATATTGGCACGGCAGCCGATTATTAACGACAACACACAATTTTCTCTTCCTGACCATATTATGTAATCGGATCTCTTGATACGCCTTTTCCTTATTTAATGAAATTGGAATTGTGGAATTGGAAAATTGGAAGCCTGTGCATTAAACAAATTGCAATGCCTCGCAATTACATTTACACGCAACGAAAATACGCGTCTTGATTTAATATCGAATCATTGGAGATGAAAAGTATCGAATAAATGAAAAAGTAAAAAGAATGCTTATATAATTCAAGGATTACTCCAGCGTAATTATCCGTAATTGTTGATATTTACTTTCGACGAAATCTTTAGCATTGAATCACGTATAGAATTCGATGAGTTAAGTCGGCCAGCATCGTCGGATTTACGTACAGGAAAAGTGAAAAAACAGTTGTGCTTTATCGATCGCTGATTTAGCATTTGTAATGAAGTCGGCAAAACAGGAATCCTACATAGATTTGGTCCACTCGCCGAATGCGAAGGATGTTTGGATGATGTATGACGATTACTCGCCATACCTTACCGTAAGGCTACTTGGGATAGGTATAAATATATAAGAAACGCGCGCGAAAGTAAAAGATAGAAAAGGCAAAAGTACGTCAGCCGCCCGCTGCCCGCTTCATACTGCACCCCTCCCACTCTCGCTCTCTCTCGCTCTCTCTCTCTCTCTCTCTCTCTCGCTCTCTCTCTCTCACTCTCTCTCGCTCTCTCTCGCTCTCTCTCTCTCTCTCTCTCTCTCGCTCTCTCTCTCTCACTCTCTCTCGCTCTCTCTCGCTCTCTCTCTCTCTCTCTCTCTCTCGCTCTCTCTCTCTCACTCTCTCTCGCTCTCTCTCGCTCTCTCTCTCTCTCTCTCTCTCTCGCTCTCTCTCTCTCACTCTCTCTCGCTCTCTCTCGCTCTCTCTCTCTCTCTCTCTCTCTCGCTCTCTCTCTCTCACTCTCTCTCGCTCTCTCTCGCTCTCTCTCACTCTCTCTCTCTCTCTCTCACTCTCACTCTCACTCTCTCTCTCTCTCTCTCACTCTCACTCTCTCACTCTCTCTCTCCCCCCGCCTCCTTTTTCCGAATAGGAAGACCGAGTGAGAAGACTACGTGGGCATCGCGTGACACAGTGGAAAGGGGGATGGGTCGGGACGGGGGCTAGGGGGAGTACGAGGCGGTTATGGGGTAGGGATGATGAGGGGTGAGGTGGCGTTGTAGGGAGGGTCGGGAGGAGAGCAAAAAAATAAATGGACGTAAGCCTCCACCTCTCTCCATCTCTCCTCGCCAACGTCACGGCGTCGACACTCACCGACTCTCCTCGCGGCCGTTCGCGCGCCTCGGCCACTATACTGTGTATCAACACTGGAAAATCAATGGTATTCCCGGCGCACGGCGTCCGATGACGTCGGCGTCCCGCCTTACATCCCGCCAATCGTTTCACTCCCTGACCTCCCACTCCCGGAGGCCTCCTTCCCCCCAGCGACGCCGCCGTCGTCGTCGTCGTCATCGCAGCCGCCGCGACCACCGCCGCCGCCACTGCCACCACCACCACCGCCACCGCCGCCGCCGCCGCCACCGTCGTTCCCCCACTTTCGTTGCTGCGCCATCGTCGCCGGCGTGTTCACCGCCACCACCGCCGCTCATTGCCGATCGAGCAACCGCACAGCTCGGAAGCAGGTTCATTTAAGTCTTGAGAGATAAAAATAACGCAACACTTACAAAATATTATATATATATATATATATATATTGTGTGTATATATACGTGCGTGCAATATATATATGTATGTATAGATGTATGTTGATCAACACGCATACATAAGATAACGAAATTGCCGCGCGCTTTTGACACGACACGATCGTTGGGACGTGAACGTGAACCGAACGCTAAGGGTCGGGAAAGAGCAGTGAATGCGACTTTTCCGGTGTACCACGTACGAGGAGTATTAAAGGGCAAAAAGGGTGTGTGTGTGTGTGTCTGTGGACGCGCTCGTGTGTCCGTGTGTCCGTGTGTGTGCGTGTAGGTGTGTATGTGGGTGGGTGTGCATTCGAGAGAGAGTGAGAGAGAGAGAGAGAGAGAGAGAGAGAGAGAAAGAGGTAGATAGATAGGTGAATTGACAGGCGGATAGAGCGCGGTTCGAGTGTGCGTGTTTGATTGAGGTAGATAGATAGATTGTTTGATTGATAGATAGATAGGTTGAGAGTGTGCTGTGTGTGTAAGAAAGGGAGAGAGAGAGAGAGAGAGAGAGAGAGAGAGAGTGAGAGAAGAAACGGGAGCGCGAGGGGTCGGTAGAGTAAGAAAAGTAGAGCGGGGGAGAGAGTAAGAGAGAAAGCGCGCGCGCGCGAGGGCGAGAGGGACGGGACGGTGCTCTGAGGCCGCTGGTGGTTTATAAATAAAGTTAAACCAGAAAGGGATATCGTCGGAATCGAAGCAACGACGGCCACGGCTAATCATCGCTACGCATCATCATCAACGGCAGCCACGAAAACGGAGCCTCGAGGCGGATTGAGTTGGCCAGGACGCGGCGGACTCCTTGATACATCGGCATACGCGTATCGGTGACCACGCGCGAGTCCCTGGACCACCGCCTGATAAGGAAACGCGCCTAACGCAACGCGAAAGGCCCCAGTGCCGGCTTCAGGATGGCGTTCATGATGCCCGTGGTGAAGAACGAGTGGGACATTTACAAGACCAACCGTAGCAGGCGCTCCTCCGAGTGCTCCAATCCCCAGGCCTGTCGCAGCAGAAAGGTGAGATTCGTTATAAAGCCGCGAGACCCTCCCTGCATCCCCAAGAACCGACTGCCGCGGTCCCCACCGGCCCTCGATCGAGGCGAGCACACACACACACACTCTTGTTTCTCTTTGCCATGCCGCTCTCGACGACCCTGTCGAGGCCAATCGCCGGACAACTCGTTTAACCCGTTGGACGTCGAATGGCGCAGTAGCGGATCCCGCCCTTCCGTCCCTTCACACCGCGCGCTTCAAAGGGCTGACCTTAGCCTGACGAACGCACTCGGTGCGCGAATGCGTGTGTGCGCGCGCCACCTCTCTCCATTCATCATCTTCCCGTTAATAAAAAAAAAAAAAAAAAAAAAAAAAAAAAAAAAAAAAAAAACCCCTCCCCCCTCCCCTCCCCCTCCCCCACCCGCCCCTCCATCCAAACTCATCGCCGCATATCATAATCCCACATCTCGATTAAATAACTCTTGCGTGCATTGCTAATCCATTGGCACTTGAGGTGTGTGGTAAGGGGTGCGAGAAGCCATAGAGAGAGAGAGAGAGAGAGAGAGAGAGAGAGAGAGAGAGAGAGAGAGAGAGAGACGCGGGCAAAGAGCGCCGAGCGAAGGTCGCGTCAAAAGTGCGCCCAACGTAAAGGGAGTCGTTTATAAGTAATATACGAGTGAGAAATACACAAACGGAAAGAAAAACTGGCAATTGGAATATCTCGTAGCTCCCAATTACGCTTTACGCCGCTACAAAAGTCAGGCAAACATCTCGCGATGCCGGCAATTTCCTTAAATTCACGCAACTTTGTCGTTGCCCCGATGTTCGTCGGATTTAAAATCCATACTTTCGTGAGAGCAAGAGTAGGAGGCATTTTTCTTGTTATCTCTTTTCCTTCTTATTTTATTTATTTATTTTGTTTTTTGTTTTCTCGACCGTTTTACAGGGTTTAATTTGACAAATCGAGTGCGCTTCGTCAATGAAATTCATCTCGTTAATAATGCGAGGAAAGTTGGTCTGCCTTGATTCAACAAAAGCAACAACAAAAGCAACGAAAAACCGTCTTGGCTTTTACAAGACAATTGCATTTATCGAAGTATAGTTATTTATTGAAATGAGCGTGTCGCACAATTAGGGGTGCTAGCATTATGCTGGCCGGTCGTTTATTAATTTCACATTAGATTGCCGAGTATTTAATAAAGTTTAAAACGTTCCTTCCAACTTTTGTAACTACAATTATGGACCTTAATGATCGAATTTCAAAGACCAAGCACCATTGGCATTGCTCGAGCTAAATTTGTATTTAAACAGTAATTTGGCAGTCCAACATCTCATAATTTTATGTCCCCCTGTTATCGTCGTTATGAAATATAAAGAATTCTAATTGCCACGACGACACTGGCATCGCGATACTAAATATAAAAATAAGAAGAAAAATTTTTATTTTAATCGTCCTGGCACGATAATACGATTATAGACGCGTTCGTGAAATAAATTCGACTTGGCGGGTTGTAAAATTCGGGAGTTGATGAGAGAGAGAGAGAGAGAGAGAGAGAGAGAGAGAGAGAGAGAAAGAAAGATAAGAGAAAGACGAGCTATATGTATAATGATTAATCGGTGATTTCGAACGAACGGAATAATTTCTCTTGGGCATATTCTACTAAATTTCCGCATAATTTTGTCACCGGATCTCGCTAATAATCGCGATCGCCGACGCGCGACTCTCGTCCCTTCTCAACCCAATCGATAATGTCATTATTATTCGAGGAGAGTAGGTGGAAGAGGAGAATAGTGTGCGCATAGGCATACGTAGGTCGATGTCGAGAGTATACTTTTGGGCAAAAAATGAGGCGCATGAGTCGTCGTCGCTCCCGACTAATTAAAAAAAGAAGAAAAAAAAGAAGAAAAAGAGAGAGAGAGAGAGAGAGAGAGAGAGAGAGAATATGGTTGACTGTGTCGAGTTCCCGTCGTGCAGCAGTGGCAAGTCGATTGATTACCCTCGTGGCATAAATGTAGGAAAAATTGCGAGGAGTAATCCAAGCGAACCAAGCGACAATCGCCTCTTTTCCCCCTTTTTCCGCGAAAAGAACAACAAATTCATGATTAATGAAGCCGTACGAGCTCAAAGAGAGTTAAATATCGATGGTGGAACTACGACTGGGGAATTGGTGATTTTGTATGATTGGAAGGGGGAAACGAGAGAGAGAGAGAGAGAGAGAGAGAGAGAAAAACAGTTAAAATGAAAATATGTTACGTGGTGCTAGAAGGAGGTCAATTAGCTTTGCGACGCAATAGTCGATTAAAGTGTTAGAGCCGTCTTTTCGAACATCTCGATAAAAATCAGTTGGAACGTAGGACTTTATTAATGCCTGGCATTAAATGGGGACAGAGTTAAATTTGACGAGTTGCCAAAAATTTACAAGGTTATTTTCAAAATCCGAGTGAGATATGGTTGGGCTCCGTCTTTGCCCGGATCACTCATTATTCCTTTATTTGATTTTCACGCTTCGAAAGACTAGTCGCATGCATCAATGTTTATTTATATTATGAAATTTAAGGGAGCAGAACATATCCGAGACGTAGAAATTGTACGTAACATCATTTAACGATTAATGGAGGCTGGACTCTAACGGAAAAATCACCGCGGGATAATGCCAATCAATTAATAATAATTCGCGTTGAGAGTTCATTGTTACTTTTACGCGGATCAGTGCTATAAAGAAGGAAAAAACCGTTACTACAGGTTTCTCACTAACATAGGAAAATTAGAACAATATGCTTGAAATTTATATTTTATCCGCGCTTACAGACGACATGGAATTAAATGAATTTCGTCAACAGTCCGTTAAATATATGACTCGTCGAGAAAAGTCAGCATTCCAATATATATTAGCGACTGCAACATATTTCTCCAACAAGCTGAAAAAAAAACAAACAAACACACAAACAAACAAACAAACAAATAACTATATATTAAAAAAAAAAAAAAAAAAAAAAAAAAAACAGTAAACAGAAAACAAAAAACAAAAGAAAAGAAGATAGACATACCGATCGCTTGGTTACAAAGTTTGATTGATCCATCGAATCAATCTCCGCTTTAATATCCAAAAGTAATAATCGTCTCTCGACATTGCAAATTCAACACTTCCAATAGGCATCATATCATCGTATTTTGTGTTATCGGCCTCGGAAGATCAGCGAGCACATATTTTTATGTTTGACAAGCCAAACGATCCCGTTAATCCCGAATCCATTGTCCATTCACTAAATATACGTTCTCTAATTAATTAGACTCCATTGAACTAAAACAGTGTATTATTAGATTAAAGTTGTGCAGAGGCGAGAGCGGCTAAAGTCGATTACGCGCCAAAGACCAGAATAAATATTCGCTCTTATTGGTCTAAGGTAACGGGGCTGTACGTAAAATATTCGAAACCGACTCGAGCTATTCCGAGTGTTGGCAGTATAAAATAAAGAGGCGACTACTGTCCCGAGGCGCATACCTTCTCATTAATTTCCATGTGGCGCGTTGATTGATTACGCTATCGTCGCTCGCCCCTCTTCACCCCACACGCTCCAATGACAGCAATGACATTATTTTCATTAAATTTCCTAATACGAAGATATAGAGCTGGGTTGGGTTCATAATAATATCCTTATAAAAATCCAAGGCGATGCCCCGGATATTTATCTGGAGGAGATTGGAAATGCTTAGGCGCGTGTAAATATGTCGGAAATCTCACGGGTGCTGAAAGCACGTGTTAGTTAATAACCGGGAGATGCGGGTTTTCTATTGCCACGTGGTGCTTGAACGTGGGAACCACTGACTCGATGGAATCTTTAAAGTAACCTTGCCGGCGCTATTTTGAAAATTCACCGTTCCGAGTCTTATTCCGGGGAAACGACTTAGCACTTACGCGTCGCCACGGCCAATTCGTATGGCCGTCGTCGGCTACTCGGAAAGTTCACTCGTCGTTGCCACGTGCCACGTGCCACGTTTGGCAATAACCATGGCGAAGCTCGCCGATTTCGGCCATTATAGCTGTTAATATTTATCGCGATGAGTCGTCGACGATCGATTAACGATCATTGAAAATCTAACGGTTTTTATCGATTTTCCTTGGGCGGATCAACAAATTAGCAATTTGTTAAACGATTATGGAGTTGGAAATTTCATTGTACTTTCTCGACTCCGCTTACTTTTGCGACTCCTCGGTGCTCTGCCATTCCGATCGGCAATTGTGTCGAATGAGAATGCCCGAGTCTCTTATTACATTTTACACGCTCAACTTTTGCTTAAAAGACTATATATAATCTAATTATTCTATGGAATTCTCGCCATGTTTTATACGCTGAATTAATATTATCAAATTACATTTTGCTCGACGCTGGAAATGCTGAAATTCAATGATAAGAATAAACTTAGACGCGCAAATCATTAATAATACAATGATGGTTGAGTAATGACGCCTGCTTAAAAATAAATTAAATTGCTTTCGTATTGTATAATCTTTGCGTATAATTCGACTGGAAATGTCATTGTATAGTCGTATAGTCAACGTTTTTTTTTTTTTTTTTTTTTTTTTTTTTTTTTTTTTTTAGCGTTATAGCATTTATCACGAAGAAGGTGGGAATGAAAGAAAGAAAAGACGAAATATTAAAAGACCTATTGTTGGAAATTTGATTTTTGGTCGTGGAATTCGATGATTGGAAGGAAATTTGTCTTTTGATTTGTCGGCATATATGTCGTTCTTGCGCGATACTTGTCACATACGCAAGTAAAATTTCGTCGAATAAACTTCGTCTTTGCAGCTCGAGGTTAACGCAAGACTTTTCTTACGCAACATTGGAAAATTTTATTGCTTTTGAAAAAATCCTCTCCCTCGCTAAACCGACGAATAACCAAATAATACAGCAAACAGATCCTAAGACTATCACTATATCTATGCAAAAGACGCTACTAATATATCAATTAGCAATAATAAAGTATTAAAAACAACAACAACAACAACAACAACAACAAC